ATTCATTAAAAAATCCTACAATGTGATTTTCGGGAAAAAAAATCTAATTTTGTCTGTCATAGTTGACGTGTACCTATGATGAAAATTACAGGCCTCTCTCATCTTTTTAAGTGGGAGAACTTGCACAATTGGTGGCTGACTAAATACTTTCTTTCCCCACTGTATCTTAAAATCTGATTTTAAACCTAACCTTAACCATAGCCTTAACAACACTGCTAACTTTATGCCTAACCCTAACCTTAAATTATGACCCAAAATATTTTTGTTTCCATTAATTTTTTATGATATAGCCCATTTGTACTTCGTGGCTGTGGTAACTAGTGACAACCCCAGGACAAAGTTCAGAGGAGCTAGCCAACTACACTAACACCATAGTGCCCTCTAAGCTCATCACTAAGCTAAGGATCCTGGGACTAAACACCTCCCTCTGCAACTGGATCCTGGACTTCCTGACGGGCCGCCCCCAGGTGGTAAGGGTAGGTAACAACACATCTGCCACACTGATCCTCAACACGGGGGCCCCTCAGGGGTGCGTGCTCAGTCCCCTCCTGTACTCTCTGTTCACCCATGACTGCATGGCCAGGCACGACTCCAACACCATCATTAAGTTTGCCGACGACACAACAGTGGTAGGCCTGATCACCGACAACGATGAGACAGCCTATAGGGAGGAGGTCAGAGACCTGGCCGTGTGGTGCCAGGACAACAACCTCTCCCTCAACGTGACCAAGACAAAGGAGATGATTGTGGACTACAGGAAAAAAAAGAGGACTGAGCACGCCCCCATTCTCATCGACGGGGCTGTAGTGGAACAGGTTGAGAGCTTCAAGTTCCTTGGTGTCCACATCACCAACGAACTATCATGGTCCAAACACACCAAGACAGTCGTGAAGAGGGCACGACAAAGCCTATTCCCCCTCAGGAGACTGAAAAGATTTGGCATGGGTCCTCAGATCCTAAAAAAATTCTACAGCTGCACCATCGAGAGCATCCTGACTGGTTGCATCACCGCCTGGTATGGCAACTGCTTGGCCTCCGACCGCAAGGCACTACAGAGGGTAGTGCGTACGGCCCAGTACATCACTGGGGCCAAGCTTCCTGCCATCCAGGACCTCTATACCAGGCGGTGTCAGAGGAAGGCCCTCAAAATTGTCAAAGACTCCAGCCACCCTAGTCATAGACTGTTCTCTCTGCTACCGTACGGCAAGCGGTACCGGAGTGCCAAGTCTAGGTCCAAAAGACTTCTCAACAGCTTCTACCCCCAAGCCATAAGACTCCTGAACAGCTAATCATGGCTACCCGGACTATTTGCACTGCCCCCCCACCCCATCCTTTTTACGCTGCTGCTACTCTGTTAATTATTTATGCATAGTCACTTTAACTCTACCCACATGTACATATTACCTCAACTACCTCAACTAGCCGGTGCCCCCGCACATTGACTCTGCAACGGTACCCCCCTGTATATATAGCCTCCCTACTGTCACTTTATTTTACTTCTGCTCTTTTTTCTCTCAACACTTTTTTTGTTGTTGTTTTATTTTTACTTTTTTTGTAAAAAATAAATGCACTGTTGGTTAAGGGCTGTAAGTAAGCATTTCACTGTGATGTCTGCACCTGTTGTATTCGGCGCATGTGACCAATAAAATTTGATTTGATTGGATTTGATCACTTTAAACAGAATCTGGAAAAACAGCAAACTAGTTGCATTTCCTTTCGTTTGACCTGTTTTTCGATTGACATTTCTCTGTATGTATCCATAAAAATGATGCTGATTCATGATTTCGACTGGCTGAGAAAAGTTGCCTGCCTGTCCGTCTCGTCCCGACACTTTCATTACTATGAAACAGCTGGAGATCGAATGTCCATATTGAAACAATGTTACAAATGTCGGAGAGACAGACAGCACGGTTTATACAAGTCTCCACTGTTGAAAACCAAATGCTAGTCTAAAAGAAATGGGAGATAATGTCTGGGTGCTTTTTACAGTGGAGATCAAGTTCATAAATTGCCTGGCTGGGCTGATGAGACAGTGGTTTGCGCAGTGAGATGGAACAGTAATTAGGCATTTCAATGTAGCCTTAGCCGGTTGTAACTTGTGGATTAGACACCGGCTGGAACGCGGTTTTAACCAATCAGCATCCAGGATTAGACCCACCCGTTGTATAATATGCCATAAATAATGGAACATTCCATGGTTTCTTGACAGATTAATTAAATATCAATAACACAAGATAAGAAGGTTAACCTTTAAAAAAGGTCAACTTTTTCATGTTGCTGACAGGGAAGTCATAAAATCCTTTGTTGTTTATCTCGAACAACGTCATGGCAATGATAGTTTTATGGCATATTACATCACCAGACATTGCATGTATTTATGTAAATAAATGTAATATGCCATCTTATTGCATTTTCTGAGATTTCCAGTTCGAAGAACAGATGTGATAAGACCTCTTCACAACATGAGGCAGAAACAGGGCCAGCACGCAGCTTGATGAATGAGTCTCACATGCTAGGATCTATATAAGGGTTATGATGAGCAGCATGTTGCCATATGACCACAGACATGGGACTTCTGCAATGTTACTGGTACATGTAGTCTCTAGATTTAAAGAGATAATCAAATCTGGCATTAAGGCATGTTGTTGAGAAAAGCTAAATATATAGAAAATAACATCTTTACAAAAGTACACTTCTTTCCATTTTATTTAAGGATATTCACAAGTTATGGTATAAAGAAAAATACAAGCAACAATATTTCTTAACAAAACATTTAAGTGCAAAATGTCTTTCATTTTGTGCCATACTATGGATCAAGTACTAATAAATGTACTTATGCGCCAGATTCCATGTCTATCATCATCTCCCAAAGTTCTCCCTGATCCAATGGGCATGGGGCATGCTATTCCTGCCTCTGTGTCCAGTCATTCCTGGTCCATGTGTGCACTGCAGTGCTGTGGAATCCCAAACAGAGAACACATGATTAACATTCCCAGGACCATGAATAATCCTAGGAAATGTTCTATGGAACATTTAAAGTCTCCCGGTTCCAGCCTCTCATTCGGCATTCTCCATATAGTAGTTTGGGGCTCTGGCAAGAACAGATTGAGGGATCGGTCACTGGGCATCCATCTTTGAATCAGCAATGGATATTAGACAGACTTATTATGGGCATTATCCTCCTTGAACCCTTCTGGCTGACTCCTCTGCTCTGCTTGCCAACTCCACTAGACAGCAAGCTACATCCAGTTCTGTAGATCCACTGACCATTGTTCTTTGTCCAATTCTATTGATTCCGTGGATGCTTTCTCCAGTCCCATTGGCTTATGTAGATGCAACCAATGTTATCAAACCAAGCATCAGTCATTATGACACTGCTGTAGTCCTTCGTGATTGTTCGATTGATCTACAGTGCCTTGCAAAAGTATTCATCCCCCTTGGCGTTTTTCCTATTTTGTTGTGTTACAACCTGTAATTTAAATTGATTTTTATTTGGATTTCATGTAATGGACATTCACAAAATAGTTCAAATTGGTGAAGTGAAATACAAAAAATAACTTGTTTCAAAAAATTCAAATAAATAAATAACGGAAAAGTGGTGCGTGCATATGTATTCACCCCCTTTGCTATGAAGCCCCTTAAAAACATCTGGTGCAACCAATTACCTTCAGAAGTCACATAATTAGTTAAATAAAGTCCACCTGTGTGAAATCTAAGTGTCACATGATCTGTCACATGATCTCAGTATATATAACCCTGTTTTGAAAGGTCCCAGAGTTTGCAACACCACTAAGCAAGGGGCACCACCAAGCAAGCGGCACCATGAAGACCAAAGAGCTCTCCAAACAGGTCAGGGACAAAGTTGTGGAGAAGTACAGATCAGGGTTGGGTTATAAAAAAAATATCTGAAACTTTGAACATCCCACGGAGCACCATTAAATCCATTATTAAAAAATGGAAAGAATATGGCACCACAACAATCCTGCCTAGAGTGGGCCGCCCACCAAAACTCACGGACCAGGCAAGGAGGGCATTAATCAAAGAGGCAACAAAGAGACCAAAGATAACCCTGAAGGAGCTGCAAACTGCAAAGCTCCACAGCGGAGATTGGAGTATCTGTCCATAGGACCACTTTAAGCCGTACACTCCACAGAGCTGGGCTTGACAGAAGAGTGGCCAGAAAAAAAGCCATTGCTTAAAGAAAAAAATAAGCAAACACGTTTGGTGTTCGCCAAAAGGCATGTGGGACACTCCCCAAACATATGGAAGAAGGTACTTTGGTCAGATGAGACTAAAATTGAGCTTTTTGGCCATCAAAGAAAATGCTATGTCTGGCGCAAACCCAACACCTCTCATCACCCTGGCAGCATCATGCTGTGGGGATGTTTTTCATCGGCATGGACTGGGAAACTGTTCAGAATTAAAGGAATGATGGATGCCGCTAAATACAGGGAAATTCTTGAGGGAAACCTGTTTCAGTCTTCCAGAGATTTGAGACTGGGACGGAGGTTCACCTTCCAGCAGGACAATGACCCTAAGCTTACTGCTAAAGCAACACTTGAGTGGTTTAAAGGGGAAACATTTAAATGTCTTGGAGTGGCCTAGTCAAAGCCCAGACCTCAATCCAATTGAGAATCTGTGGTATGACTTAAAGACTGCTGTACACCAGCGGAACCCCTCTAACTTGAAGGAGCTGGAGCAGTTTTACCTTGAAGAATGGGCAAAATCCCAGTGGCTAGATGTGCCAAGCTTATAGAGACATACCCCAAGAGACTTGCAGCTGTAATTGCTGCAAAAGGTGGCTCTACAAAGTATTGACTTTGGGGGGGTGAACAGTTATGCACGCTCAAGTTTTCTGTTTTTTTTGGTCTTATTTCTTGTTTGCTTCACAAAAAAATATATTTTGCATCTTCAAAGTGGTAGGCATGTTGTGTAAATCAAATGATACAACCCCCCCCAAAAAATCTGTTTTAATTCCAGGTTGTAAGGCAACAAAATAGGAAAAATGCCAAAGGGGGTGAATATTTCGCAAGCCACTGTATGAGACATCTTTATCACAGATTACCACCACACTTGTAACAACACACATCTGGTATAGTCTGGTCCCCTCTATAGGGACCTGCTTTGAGGGACAGCAGTGTCACAGTAGGACCAGTCTGGTCAACCCCAGGCCCAGGGTGGTGAGTAACGTCAGCCAGCAGCAGCCCCACGCTGTCCTCACAGGGGCCTGGGATGGGGCTGAGCTGTAGGCCTGCTGCCTCATGGCAAACACAGCATTGGTGTGGTTAGTGGGGACCTCCACATTGCAGATCATACCCTCACAGCACGACACACACTCCTGCGAGAGGGAGAGGAGAGAGAGAGCCGAGGAGTGAGCGACAACAAATTCAAAACACAAGTGCAGCAGTAATGGAAAATAATTTTCAGCTGATTCTACAAATTCCTGAGTAGACAAATGATGGTGGGTGATTGTGGATGGGTTTTGGTGTATGGACTTACTGTGTGACCTGTGTCCCTGTGGTGTCTACAGCCTGAAGCGTGACACACCTCCCTGGCAGCACACTTTTTGGTCACAAACTTGGTCTTGCCATGACTGGTGAAGTGGTGCACTGTCATACAGAACTGTGTATCTGAGGAAAGGATGACAAAGAAATATACATTACTCAACTGGTTAGCTGGCTTTGTCATGCATTGGCTATAACCAGTGCTTGACTTGGGCCGGAGCTGTCAGGAGGGCCATACCGGCACCTCCAAGTTTTGGGGAACTGCATTCTGGCTCCGCTATAAAACAAAGTGGCCTATCACCACCCGGATTCACACACAGAGTCAAAAAAAAGTTTATCAAAGCAGGATCTGCATTGAATAGCAATGGAGAGTGGGCATTTATATCCTGATTCCGCTTTGTTCAAGTTTATTTGCCGCTAGTCTGTGAATCCGGTGTATACATGCCAGTAGAATGTTAAGAGTTTGAGAATACGCCAGCCTGAATGCGCAGGATGCGCTGTTACAAGTTCGTACCGTCATGAAAATCCTGGAAAAGTCATGGAATTTTAATATTGTGTTTTCATTTTAAAATATATGATCAATCACTTAAAAATCTACATATCAGCCATGATCAGAATTAGGCATACCCTTCAGCGCGTTTCTCTGTGTGTGCTGTGCATTTGCCCGAGGAGAGAGTGAGACATTTCAGCAGCAGGTAGCCTATAAAATAATGATAGACTAACTATATAGCCTATTCAAAACATAACTAGTCATACTACAAGCTATCTCACTAGTTAACTATTTAGCTTTAAGTATAAATGTCGTTGACTCTTTGTTGCCTTTCCACCAGCACTGTTGAGAAATACGTTTGACACCGTTGGGATTCCCCTCTATTAAACAGTAGGCTACGCATTTAGGCCTAAATCCGACAATGTATTTATTATTATTATTATTATTATTTTTAACAATATATTTATTGGCATTTTTTACAATTTAACAATCGTCGGCAAAATATGACAATCAGATAATGCCATGCACTTTCTTCCTGTCCTACAGTTATAAATAACAACACCTCCATTCATATTATTAAATAGCAGCCTACCTGTTGGCTCTTGTTCGTTGTAGCATACACTTCTCATTGAACTTTTAATTCCATAATTTCAATGCCATCTTCAATTGATTTCCTAATTTGCTTTGCCACACACAGAGGCTCTATGACTGTAGTGGCGCTTTGATGACCTGTGATTGGCCGACAACAAGCTACAAGCGCTACTCTGCTACTAACGACTTTTTATCCACAACTCTCTGTCCATCGCGGTTGTAATCGACTATGAAGCCAAAACTTTCACAAACTGGAGATTTAAACGATGGAGGATCCTCCAATTCTGGTTGATCGATCCCACCACTCGTCATCTACAGAGTTCCCGGCTGTGCCTCACTAAAGGATAGTTTGAAATCTGACAGTTAAGATTTGAATTTTGATTACAGGCTGTAGTTGTTTTAACGGAATAGCCTACAATGTTTTTTTTCAGCTCAGATTAACTCACACGGCAATTGCATACAACGCAGCCTATATGCCTAGTGTTTTAATTTGTTTTATGTATTCATTCGGGTTCACAGTGCGGACCGAACCGAGGTCCCCATACCGAACGGTTCAGTACGAATAGGTGTACTGTTACGGCCCCAGTAGCTCTCCAGATGAAGAGTTGACCACATGCGTTTTATACAGTAGCCTAAAGGCGTCCTCATGCTTCCCAGAGGAAACCGTTCGGAAAAGTTTGTACATATATTATGTCGTCATTTTGCTACGTTTTTGTTCGTTTTGGACTTCGGTAAGGTTTTTATCGGCTGTTCGGGCACACAAACATTTTTCTCGAGGCCAGCCGAAGTTCGGGAGCCGAAGTCTACGCCCTTCGTCCATGATTGGTCAACTGTAGGGATTCGTCAATAAAGTATGCAATGAGAGATGACTCATTTTCATGCAAATATTTTCATTGAGAAATACTGCACCAAACATCTTAGTTAGATGTAAAATTGCACGACTAAGATGTCCTCGGTAAAAACGTCAGAATTAATGACAGATTTCTTGAGTTACCTTCGATTAATTCTGACTATTTTGAGGAAGTGTAACTTGCTACCGCGCCTCAAAATGGACAAACAGTACTATTGTAGCTTTTTCTTGTTTTTCAAGCGAAGGTCTTTTAAGGGAGTATGCGAACACACTCGTTCGGTTTGCCTAGCCGCCAGCCGAACTGAAGCATGCTGAAGCCTTAACAGTGCAGTTATTCTACTTTGTGGGGGGTTAAGTGCCTCCCAGCTAGCACATAACACTCTGAGAACCATCTGTTTCTTAAGGAAAAGGGATGCCTAATCAGTTGCACAACTGAATGCATTCAACTGAAATGTGTCTTCCGCATTTAACCCAACCCCTCTGAATCAGAGAGGTGCGGGGGCTGCCCTAATCGATGTCCACGTCATTGGCGCCCGGAGGGCAGTTCTTGTTGTGGGTTAACTGCCTTGCTCAAGGGCAGAACGGCAGATTTTTCCACCTTGCCAAAGCTCTTAACTGCTAAGCTACCTGCCGCTTGGTGGGAGTGTGGTTGTCCTGTGGTTATTTTGTATACAACCTTCCCACAACTTTCTGGGAATGGTGCAAGATAGCTGCTTGGCTTTGGAACATTCTCAGCACATTTAAGGAACTTGACAAAAACACTTTATTTTCTTGGTATTTCATTACATTAACAGAACGTTAACTAAAAGTAAAAAAAATGGTTACATTTAACTTCAATTTTGATAACGTTCTAGGAACGTTCTCCAACTGGTTTGACATTGGGAATGTTCTCAAATAGTTCAGAGAATGTTAATAAACAATGTTCTTCTGTGGGAATTGTGGGAATTTCAGTACTTCAGCATAACGTTTCCTACATGTTTCCTCATGGTTCTGTTTAAAGTAATGTTCTCATGTTAAGAAAGAAAACGTTCCATAAAAACTACAAGAAAACGTTAGTAATGTTCAGAGAACGTTATAAGAATGATATTTAAAAACATACATTCCGTTCTCAACATCAACAAAACTCTCTCTATCCTCTATCTTGTTAAATGAGTGCTTGTTTCCTTTGAAATGGGGTCTGTTTGAATAGACTAAAATGAACAGCATTGTATGTGTAAAGAAAAACGTGGCACACCAGCTCCATTCTGGTGGCGCAGTGGACTAATTCCATGGATAGAGAACAGAAGATTATAGGTTTGAATCTCACTGATGCCGTGTCACAATAAAAAATAAATGTGTTTGCATGTGTCCTATCTGTGCTTGGTGTTCAAAAACGTTAACCCAAAATAAGCTATCAGTCTTAAAGTCTGTTTGAAACATTCAGTGAAAGTTTTAAGGAAGTTATTAAAAAACCTCAAAATAACCTATAATTTCCATTCTCAGTGTTAATAAAACCTCCCAGGAAAACTTTCAAAGAACCAGAGTAAAACATTCTCAGAACCCTCCCTGCAACGTAAAAATAACAGTTCCCAGAACAGGCAATATTTTCATTTCTGTTCTCAGAACATTTAAAAACGTTCAGTTTTACTGGTCAGGAAACTTATGGCTTCATTCCCAGAACCAATGGGAAACCAAAAAACGTAAGTTCCCACAACTTCCAAGGAATGTGCTACCTGGGCTTGATCAATGGCAGGAGATAGTAGGCCAAATGGGATCAGAAACCAGCAGCGTTCTAGTGTCAATACCACATTTATGCTTACTTTTTCATGTAGGCTACATAGCAGGGTTTCCGTTATGAAAATGTGGCGCCGGACATTTTACCAGCAGCATTTTAATTTACTGGACATTTGAGTAATGTACCAGACCCATATGCGTTGGGTGCGTAACCTGATTAGGGCATCCACCCACAGTGCTCAGAATGACCGAAATCAGAACATGCAAGTCGAGGATGCAATGCAGTGTCCTTACCATGCACTTTGAAGATGTTAGAATAACTGTCCACATTTACTTTTACTCAGCCAACAAGATGAGTAACAAACAGCAAAATCACTAGCCTATGCATAAAAATGCACCTTTATAATAAAGCATTTCATGCGTCATCACATTTGCAGACTTATGTATTTGTAATGTGATGAGTAGATTCGATAGTCATAATTTAGGGTAATAATATAACTCAATCACTGTTCTCAAAAAAGACAGTTCAATGCATGGCTGAGCGTGTATAGTGTAGAGGCCTGGGATATAGGCTATATCAGGTTTCTTCTTTCTTTGCACAGGAAAAACACATTTCATGCAATTCTACTTTATCTGACTGGAGACATTATCATGACTGGAGACATTATCATAATCTTTTTTCATATGACAAATTACAGGGTAGCCTACTCTGCTGACACTGTCCATATAACAGGCCTACAAGAAGGGGAGACACAAATAGAATATGACGTCCATCTAAACTGGAGGAGGAAATTATTGTCCAAAAACAAACTTTTAAGTGACACTGACCCAACAATGATAAAGAGTGAATGTGCGCAGTGTGCCCTCACCAGGGATATGGCCGATGCTTCACTGGTGCCAATAAGATATGCTATAGGCCTACTGTTGTTCGCACAATTAAGTTGAGAATTTGTATACCTAAAAGACAGATTAGAGTATTTTCATTGTATTCTCTTTACAGCAATAGCCATTTGCTTTCCAAACTATGTTTTCCCGCGATATAATTTTGAAATATTGCAGTATACCTGGCTGGGCCCTCTCTACTTTTCACTGACAGTCTCAACTCAATAATCATCTATTTGGTATTTGCAGTGTGCGCTGCCCAAATTGTACATGCTGCCTTTCCTTCCGACTGCAGGCAATGCGATTTAAAACAATCAGCAACTTTTTTTTAAGTCTAGGGGAAGCTAATGATCCTCTGTGGCCAAATCATGCTTTAGTAGCCTATTTAGAATTATTTTATTTCTTTCTGTATAGACAGGATTAGGCTGTCAATCTACTATAATAAATAGCCCAAACAGACTCTGGGACACTGGTGGGATGATAGATCCTATATTCATCCAACCAGTAGGCTGCATAAATAAATGAATCTGATGCAGATCAGAACATTTAGCTTAATATGTTGATAAACTATTATTTCTTAACATTATTAGCCCAGCAATGCGCACAAGGCAGTAGAATATGCGTGAATGTGCATTTGGCTAACAGACAATGAAAGAAAGTTGAAAACCAATAGAACATGAGAGAAATAGGCTACTGGTTTCATGGCATATGGAAGTCTATGTAAAATATTTGCCTCTATGTATATGGTAGGATTTTGGCTAGGCTACTTGGAAGCAAGGTAAAATGTATGTAGGTTTCAAACAATTAGGTAGCTATATGTTTTCAAAATGCATACTGCCTCCAGCTCATTGCAAAGTGGTGTGACGCCTGATGAAGCCTGCCTTCCGTTGCCTATGCATTTCAATGGCGAATGTGAAGCGTGCTTGAATTACCAGTTGAGAAAAAAAAAGTAGCTATTTTTAATCGTGGCCCAAAAACTACTTTTAACACAGGATTGCATTTAGAATTGTTGCGCAATGATTAGGCTTATAAAAGTTCTGTCTGACAGATTTCCCGCCAAAAGGCTCTGTATCTGTATGCTGTGCGTGTGATAAATAATATTCATAACAAATATAGGCGCGCCAATTTAAAAAACGTTCTTCCCCCGGACAATTGGCTAGAGGCAATTTTATTTATAGGCTTTTCTATTTTTTTAATGGCCAAAAGCCGGCTATTACCGGCTAACAGAAACCCTGCTACATAGAGACGCTACCAATTATTGGTCATGGAAATTTGGTTAAAAGTCACGGAGAAGTCATGGAATTCATGAAATTCCATCTGTCAAAAGGTGTATGAACCCTTAACAGTGAATAATCAGGAGGTCTCTATAGTATAATGTCATTTGGGAATGTCTGTGAACGTCGTCTAATGGACCGACTTGAAAAAAGACTGCTACTGCACCTCTTTCATCCTAAGTCAAGCACTGGCTATAACAGCATAATCATAAGGTATTATAACAGTGTAACAGCAATAATAACAATGATTATTAAGTACTGGTTAGTCCTATCAGTAATGCCAATGAGAAACACTTACAAAAATTCTAATATCTGACAGTATCTGTGTGAAACAACAAAGGGTTCTACTCACTCTGTGGACACCACTTGTCCTCAGCCCAGCTGTTACAGTTGTAGTTGTCTGCAGCTTGCTCGCAGGTGAAGCACTTGAAGCTCTTAGGGAATGGAGTGGCTGTAAAGACATTCACACACTGTGTGTCAATGTATGTTTTTACTCACATTGCTCCTGTTCAAACGTTTCTTTTGATGGATACTTCAACAATGTTGAAGACGTAAAAATGTCAACGAGTAAGCAGAACGTACCTTCCACAGGTGGTTTGACATTGTAGAAGTTGATGCGATCAGCTGTAACCTCGTCACATATGGCCATCAGCGCCAGGAGTTGGAGAGCAGCGGTGAGGTGCAGGGCCATGGAGAATGACATCATCACAGTCTCTCTATCAGCAACCTAAAACACAGCAACAGAAGGGATCAGGAATGGACATACAGTGGGGAAAAAAAGTATTTAGTCAGCCACCAATTGTGCATGTTCTCCCACTTAAAAAGATGAGAGAGGCCTGTAATTTTCATCATAGGTACACGTCAACTATGACAGACAAATTGAGAAAAAAATATCCAGAAAATCACATTGTAGGATTTTTTATGAATTTATTTGCAAATTATGGTGGAAAATAAGTATTTGGTCACCTACAAACAAGCAAGATTTCTGGCTCACACAGACCTGTAACTTCTTCTTTAAGAGGCTCCTCTGTCCTCCACTCGTTACCTGTATTAATGGCACCTGTTTGAACTTGTTATCAGTATAAAAGACACCTGTCCACAACCTCAAACAGTCACACTCCAAACTCCACTATGGCCAAGACCAAAGAGCTGTCAAAGGACACCAGAAACAAAATTGTAGACCTGCACCAGGCTGGGAAGACTGAATCTGCAATATGTACGCAGCTTGGTTTGAAGAAATCAACTGTGGGAGCAATTATTAGGAAATGGAAGACATACAAGACCACTGATAATCTCCCTCGATTTGGGGCTCCACGCAAGATCTCACCCCGTGGGGTCAAAATGATCACAAAAACGGTGAGCAAAAATCCCAGAACCACACGGGGGGACCTAGTGAATGACCTGCAGAGAGCTGGGACCAAAGTAACAAAGCCTACCATCAGTAACACACTACGCCGCCAGGGACTCAAATCCTGCAGTGCCAGACGTGTCCCCCTGCTTAAGCCAGTACATGTCCAGGCCCGTCTGAAGTTTGCTAGAGTGCATTTGGATGATCCAGAAGAGGATTGGGAGAATGTCATATGGTCAGATGAAACCAAAATATAACTTTTTGGTAAAAACTCAACTCGTCGTGTTTGGAGGACAAAGAATGCTGAGTTGCATCCAAAGAACACCATACCTACTGTGAAGCATGGGGGTGGAAACATCATGGTTTGGGGCTGTTTTTCTGCAAAGGGACCAGGACGACTGATCCGTGTAAAGGAAAGAATGAATCGGGCCATGTATCGTGAGATTTTGAGTGAAAACCTCCTTCCATCAGCAAGGGCATTGAAGATGAAACGTGGCTGGGTCTTTCAGCATGACAATGATCCCAAACACACCGCCCGGGCAATGAAGGAGTGGCTTCGTAAGAAGCATTTCAAGGTCCTGGAGTGGCCTAGCCAGTCTCCAGATCTCAACCCCATAGAAAATCTTTGGAGGGAGTTGAAAGTCCATGTTGCCCAGCGACAGCCCCAAAACATCACTGCTCTAGAGGAGATCTGCATGGAGGAATGGGCCAAAATACCAGCAACAGTGTGTGAAAACCTTGTGAAGACTTACAGAAAATGTTTGACCTGTGTCATTGCCAACAAAGGGTATATAACAAAGTATTGAGAAACTTTTGTTATTGACCAAATACTTATTTTCCACCATAATTTGCAAATAAATTCATTAAAAATCCTACAATGTGATTTTCTGGATTTTTTTTCCTCATTTTGTCTGTCATAGTTGACATGTACCTATGATGAAAATTACAGGCCTCTCGCATCGTTTTAAGTGGGAGAACTTGCACAATTGTGGCTGACTAAATACTTTTTTTCCCCACTGTATAATCAAGTATCATATATTAGCCTTTGCAAGCTCATGTAACATAGAACCAGGTGAATGGGAAAGGAGAAGATGAGGAAAAGGGGGAACAGAAGAATAAACAAAAATAGTGGATATTGAGAACGAAAAGAAGTAACAGGTTGACCCTCTCTGGGACATTGAGAGGTTGGTTATCATGGTATTGAATAGCTCCATGCCCTGCCCTGACCACATTTACCTGATCCTGAGGGGGCAAGTCTCTGAGCTGAGGGTGAGGACCTCAGAGAGCTGCTGAATGGTTCTGGTCTCTATTAGATCTCTGAACCTTGACTTCTGACCCTTGGCCAGGTGGGGTGGGTAATCAGAGAGTCACGGCTGAGAGAGCAAACTGTCTCACTGGGGTCCAGAGGAGTCCATAGAGGGGCTAAAGAGACTGATCCTTCCCTGTCTAAAGCTGCTATTTGAGCAGGCAATGGATAGTAGCCACTTATGAGAAGAGGCAAGAGCGATCGATGGCTGGTCTTTGGGGAGCTTTTGATAAGCCGAACATTATTGTTAATGGTTGTTTATATCACATATTATTATTACTATCACATTTGTCAACTAGCATCATGAATGTATGAAAAAAATAAAAATAATGTATCCACTCACTAACTGTAAGTCGCTCTGGATAAGAGCGTTTGCTAAATGACTAAAATGTAAAATGTAGCCGTACTATACAAGATGGCGCCGTACTGGATGTCCACTGTTTTGCAAGCTCCGACCCAACTTTGCTATTTTGTGATTCTTTTGTCATTTATTTTTACGAAATGTATCTCTTATAATTTTTTACAATCGACAATAACTTTTTAACATCAGATCGGCAGTTACTTACTTCAATTCCGTCTTCAACTTCGACTGACTCATCTGCCCTGGGTTCTTCCCTCCATTCTACTGGCCAATGTATTGCTACTTAATAATAAGATGGATGACCTCCGATCGCGGATTTGCTACCAACGGGACTCTCGAAATTGCAATATTCTCTGCTTTTCTGAAACATAGCTCTCGGACAAGATACCCCCATGGGTATCCAACTAGATGGATTCTCCATTCACCGTGTGGACAGGACAGTGGAGTCAGGGAAATCGAGAGAGAGGGGTTTGCGTCTTCATCAACAACAACCGGTTTGCTGATTCGAGCTCGTTAGAAGTGTTGACCCATTGTTCACCTGTCTTGGAATACCTGATGGTCAAATGCCGACCCCTCTACCTCCCAAGGGAGTTTTCATCTGTTATCGTGACTATTGTATACATTCCACCTCAGGACAAGAAAAAGAACAAGCTGGCAATTAATGAACTGCACAAGGCTATACACAAGCAGCAAAACTGGAGGCTGCTTTTCTGGCTGCCGGCGATTTTAATTCTGCGTCATTTAGACACGATGCCCAACTTCCATCAACACGTCTCCTTCGCCACTAGGGGCGATAAAGACCACTGTTATTCTACCCACAAGCAAACATACAAAGCCCTCCTTCATCCGCCATTCGGCAAATCAGATCATGACTCCATACTCCTGCTTCCTGTTTACAAGCAGAAGCTCAAACAGGAAGTACCCGTGACTCGCTCTGTTGAGAAATGGTCACCAGAATCAGATATTATGCTACAGGACTGCTTTGCTAGCGCTGATTGGAATATGTTTTGAGACTCTGCCGATAACATCGACGAGCTAACCACCTCCGTCATTAGGAAAAGCATTGGCAATGTTAAGGTTCAATGTTAACATTTACATTTTACATTTACGTCATTTAGCAGACGCTCTTATCCAGAGCGACTTACAGGAGCAATTAGGGTTAAGTGCCTTGCTCAAGGGCAGATCGACAGATTTTTCACCTAGTCGGCTCGGAGATTAGAACCAGCGACTTTTCGGTTACTGGCACAACGCTCTTAACCACTAAGCTACCTGTCGTTAAGGTTCGCTGCTTTCTCAATCAAAAGCCCTGGATTAACACCAAGGTTGGCATTAAACTAAAGGACAGGGCTACCACACACAGGGCTATCGCAGACCACCCTGAGGCTACAAGTACAATAACAGGTACAAGAAGTCCCGCTATGACCTCCGCAGAGTCATCAAACGAGCAAAAGGACAATATAGGCACAGACGCCCACCGCATGTGGCAGGGGCTACAGTCCATTACGGATTACAAAGGAAGACCTCTGTAGCTCAATTGGTAGAGCATGGCGCTTGTAACGCCAGGGTAGTGGGTTCGATCCCCGGGACCACCCATACGTAAAAATGTAAGCACACGACTGTTAGTTGCTTTGGATAAAAGCGTCTGCTAAATGGCATATTATTATTATTATAAGACCCAGCCGTGATCTGCCCAACAATGCCTCTCTACCAGACGAACTCAATGCATTTTATGCACGTTTTGACAATAACATAATCGTGCTGGATGTCAGGGCCGTCACCAACCCAGATGACTGGGTGATCTCGCTCTCCGAGGCCAACGTGAGTAAGGTCTTTAAATCAGGTCAACACCTGCAAGGCAGCGGAGCCCCGACGGTATTCCAGGGCGCGTTCTAAGCGCATGGCAGGCATATTCAGCTGGCAGGCATACAGCTGGCAGGCATATTCACAGTAATTTTCAACATCCCTTGTTGGTGTTGACCACCATCATTCCTGTTCCCAAGAACTCTAAGGCTTCATGCCACAATGACTACCGCCCTGTAGCACTCACATTTGTAATCATGAAGTGCTTTGAGTTGCTGGTTATGGCACACATTAACTCTATCATCCCAGACACCTTAGACCCACTTTAATTTGCATACCACCTCAACAGATCCACAGACGACACAATCTTAATTGCACTCCACACTGGCCTCACCCACCTAGATAAGAGGAATACCTATGTGAGAATGCTGTTCATTGACTACAGCTCAGCGTTCAACACCATTGTCCCCTCCAAGCTCATCACCAAGCTTAGAAACCTGGGAGTGAACACCTCCTTCTGCAACTTGATCCTGGACTTCCTGACGGGCCGACCCCAGGTGGCGAGGGTAGGCAACATCACCTCTGCCACGCTGACCCTCAACACGTGGGCCCCACAGGGGTGTGTGCTAGGGTTGAATATTTTCCTGGTATTTTACAAATGTTCCACCCTGCGAATAAATCACTTTTCTCTCGGGTAACCCGGTATTTCCCTCCAAAACCAGAAGTGTCATTCTAAGGCATATAAATATGTTTGGATTTGATTAGAGCTTTGATTGGCATGAATATTCAAGCATTTTACATCATTTTAGTCATTTAGCAGACGCTCTTATCCAGAGTGACTTACAGTTAGTGAGTGCATACATTTTTCATACAAGCCTGATGCTAGCTGAGCCTGATGTGCCATACATTAAAGACATTTT